GTGTGGAAGAAGTCCTTTGACTAAATCAAAGGAATACAAGACAACTCTTTGCCTTTAACTTGTCCCTCTGCCTAAAACCTCTAACTGTACTGTGGCAAAAGAACGATGCTATGCTCCATTGTGGGTGAAGCATACCATTCACCATAGGATGGGATTAGAGTAAAATTTCTGGAAGAGTCAGTGGGACTGAAGGAGGAATGAGAGCGTGAGACAAATCCCTTCACATTTGTGGGATGAGATTACCGCCAAATTATGTCTTTTCACATTGGTTAGTATCTCTAAAGCACAGCCTAATGGGAGACTGTTTTCCCTGGAGAGTGTCTTGGGCACATTTCTTCTTCAATAAGCACATCATCTCTATTGTGCAGGTTACAAGCCTAGCATGATGCAGGGAGAAAAGATCATTTCCCTCTGACCTTTTCTAAGGATGAACAGAGAAGTAGGAGAATTCATCCTAGTGTTTAAGCATTCCTAAGAGATCTAGACATTTAGCTGTATTTCAGTTCCGCAGTATAACCCTCATTGCAACATCATTTTCATAGCTTTGATTAAAAACAATTGATATTGTCCCCAGTATTTAAAAACTTTATTGCCCCTGAGGAGCCACATAATTAGAGGAATCAAGCCAGGAAGCATTCCTCGCAAGATTTTTGGAAAAAGATCTCCTAGAATTAGGCTTCTAATTCCATATTTGGGCATGACTGGGTGCCTACAGCTATTCTACGTACATGAATAAATATGGTATGAGGCCTTTTATGCAGCCTCTTTTTCTTTGTTTCTAACATCCTGCCTCCTTTAATGAGCTCTAAATGCATTTGGTCAGAGCCTGTTCCTATTGTATGAGTGGGCAGCCCTAAAGTCCCTTGTCTTTTGATCATAAGAGGCAAAATGATCTCTGAGCAGGAGAGAGGACTTGATTCCTCGCAGAAATTATGTCCTTAGTACTTGGGCCAACAATGTAGGAAGGGCAGTAGTAGGACTGGCGAAGAAGATCCTCCATTGACCGTCCTGCAAAGAGACAGGTAACACCAGATCTACAGGAGGTATTACTGCTATCTTCATTACTCCATTGAAGGAGACATGCCGCTATGATGGCTGCTGCAAAGAGGGCTTTCCAAGCAGCCATGGGAGCGGGGAAAAATCCCAAGTAATGAAGTGTCAGGCAATAGTCTGTGTTTGGATATCTGGAGAGTGATATTCTGGGTACAATTTTAAAACATAAGCTCCTCTTTTCTCCAGGTGGATTATCTGATCAGCAGGTAAGGATGTCAGCAGTAGTGGAGGATGATGACCAGCTGACAGAGGGAAAATTATCTGTTGTATCAGCAATGCACTCAAGGACCATATAGGACAGTGTTTAAACATTATATAGTGTCTGATTGAATAAACAGTGCCTGTGAGCCCAGCCCTGAGGAGTGCGTACTGTTGAAGCACTACTGATTCAAACTACCTACACTTGCATTTGTGTCTGTACAAAATTAAAAATTGAATTTCCTCTCTCTTTCATTTTTTAACTCGAGAAAGTGTTTTGGGGCCTAGATCTTCCACCCCCTGACATACTGCGGCTAGACCACCACAGTGGTAAGAGATGGAAACAGTCTGTAGAGAGAACTGAAATCAAAGATGAAGTACACCTTGCTTAAACTGTGAGTCACTCTTTCTGGCTGTGTTCACAGTGTTATGACAGCTGCACTGTTTCTGCAAAATTTTTCCCAACTGGAGAAAAGTAAAAAGAAACTTAAGAATTTGCACCCATGAAAAAAACACAGGATTTATGGGAGAAATGTTCCAAATGTTCTTCGGCCTAAATAAGCAGGTTTTAAACAATTGGCTTTCTAAAGCAGTTCTAAATTCTACTGAGCTGCAAAGTGTCTTCACTTTGCAGATTCAGCCTTTTTTTTAGAGACTTGCTATTGCTATTAGTCTGATCTATTTAGATGATCCACCTGTCTGTTATATGTAGATACAAAGCAGCATTCCCAGGCATCTTTGTATATCTATTCTGGGCATCTCTGATTTCTTCCCATTTATCTATTTCAGGAACTTCATGAAGCATGTCCTGTAGGTAGACTTCATCAATGACAGATTAGCTTAGGTTTTTTTAACCACTTCTGAATACATAAGTGTAATTAATTGTACTCACAAAGACACATTGATTGCACCTGCAAAATCAAATGCTGGGTTCTGCTCTGCCTACAGAGCTCATTTGTAATTTGTTTTTCCTCAGGTATATCATGCATTCATGGACCTTCTGGTGAATTTACTAGTCACATGCTAAGCTAAATAGTATGACAGAGTATTCATGTGTAGAGCTATAATCATCTTCCTGTCTTGACTGAGCATAATATAAAATTCATGTATTCCAAAGGAAATATCCAGTCAGCAGATCACACAGTAGACCTCCTCAAGCCCAGACAAAAGGATTCCACATCATTGCTGTGGGCAGTGAAGCCTCTCTTGGAGATCTCTTGAGATCAGAGATGTTCACGTATGTGTTATCTGTTTAAGACGATTAGTGAGAAAAAAAAAAATGGCAGTGTGGGTTCAACTTTCAGACCTGCACACCTAAACATATAGATTCATATTTCTTTTATAATTTGCCTAGCAGCAATCCAAATCCCAGGACACAGGCCAAACAAGACATTGCCTAGGGCAAACAGAGGTCAGGAGAACAGCTGTTTCTTCTGCTTTGAGAGAATCCTGGAAAACCCAGTTGGCTGCTTTTGATGCTCTTGGTGCCAAGGAAGAGGTCGGAGTGAATGGCAGGCTGGCTATGGTTGTAGCTCCTTCTGGAGCAGTTTTTGTGACCTTTCAGGACTTCTTCCTAGTCTTCTCTCTCCCAGCCCTTCCCATTCCTTGGTGTACTTCTCAGGGTTGATGAGGTTTGAAGCCTTGTGCTGCACTTTTAGTAGTAAACCAGAGTTTTGAACTGCTAGAATTCTGCTGGTTTGCTCATTTTCCATCACTCCTCTAAATATGAGAAATCATACTGAAATTCAGATGTAGACAAGAATTACCTATATTCTATCATCAGGATGTGCAAGATAAACTTTATTCTGGGAAAGCACAGGATACAGAGCTGGGTGTTTATATTTATGGTCTTGTCCCACTCTAACATCACATAGAGAAAACATCTCTCCAGAATATTCTGCATTTTAGTATTCCCATTGGCAGACATATCTTACAATTTTCTGGGAGAAGTAAGGGAAAGTGAAGCAAATAGAATTCTGGTAAAAACAACCAGATTCACTGACTCTCAAACTGATGTTCTCTTCTTCACTGAAAAGAGACAAATTGCTTGGTACTTCTGCAAGCCTTTGTGGGCCTTATCCTGACATGATAGTGCAATCTTTCTCGAGAAGGCCACCTCCAGACTCAAGATGGCACTTTCATCAGAAAGCTTATTTGGTCCTTGACCTTCCT